TTTGTATGCCAACATCGACATCCTGAGACCCTACTTTGATGTGGAGCCTGCCCAGGTGCGAAGCAGGTGAGGATCCTTCTGACAGCAGTTTTCCTTGTACCTCATACCTAGTCACCCAGACTACAACCAAATACCAAGCCCTGAGCTCTGGTATCCTCCATCCCTCCCCCTGTAACCCCAACAGTAAGAGGGCTGAGAATGTGGCTTAGTGGTAGAGTGCTTGCCTAGTACGCATGAAGCCCTGGGTTCAATTCCTCAGTACAACATGAACAGAAAAAGCTGGAAGCCGGGGCTGGGAAGGTGGCACAGTGGTAGAGTGCCTTGCATGCATAAGGTCCTGGGTTCAATTCCTCAGCACCACCTAAGCAGAAAAAGCCGGAAATGGCACTGTGGCTCAAGTGGTAAAGCGCTAGCCTTTGAGTTGAAGAGCTGAGAGACACAGCGCCCAGGCCCAGAGTTCAGGCCCTATGACCAACCAGAAAAAAAAAAAGAAAAAAGTTGGAAGTGGATCTGTGGCTCAAGTGGTAGCAAAAAGAAGCTTAGAGACAGTGCCCAGGTCCTGAATTCAAGCCCCAGGATTGGCAAAAAAAAAAAGAAGAAGAAGAAGAAGAAAAGTAAAGAAAAAATGAGTAACAGCCAGGCCTTGACTTCCACAATCTTCAGCTTAGTGTGGTCTCCACTCTCATCTCTCCTCCCCCAGGCTTCTGGAGTCCATGATCCCAATCAAGATGGTCAGCTTCCCCCAGGTGAATAGGAACAACGTCTCAAAGGGAGCGGGGAGGGAGCACCAGCTGAAGCCTGAAAAGGCATAAAGACGAGACGGGCCCTGCACCCTCCAGCCTGAGTGAGTTGTTCATTCACAGAAAATCGCAGGTGAACTCTATGGGCCTCTCATGCTGGTCTTCACGCTGGTTGCCATCCTTCTGCACGGGATGAAGACATCTGACACCATTATCGTAAGCCGGACAGGCCTTGGGGTAGGGGTGGCTGAAGTAGGTTGAAAGCTGATACAGCAGGGCAGGAGTAGCCCCTACAAAAGGCCCTGGGTGAAGCTGAGGTCTCAGGACTCCTTTTACTAAGTCGAGCCTTCACCCCCGCAGCGGGAAGGCACCCTGATGGGCACAGCTATTGGCACCTGCTTTGGCTACTGGCTAGGTGTGTCGTCCTTCATTTACTTCCTTGCCTACCTGTGCAATGCCCAGATCACCATGCTCCAGATGTTGGCACTGCTGGTAAGGAACCTGGTATGGTGGTGGGCAAGGGTGGTCACAACAAGAATAGCTAGGATAGGACTTGGGCTGCCCCTGGGCCTGGATTGGGAGGAGTAAGCCAAAGGACCATCTGTTTACCAGCAGCCTCCTGAGGGCCAGAGGCCGCCCACCCTCATGATTTCCTCTCCGCCGTCCTTCTCCGCAGGGCTATGGTCTCTTTGGGCACTGCATTGTCCTGTTCATCACCTATAATATCCACCTCCATGCCCTCTTCTACCTCTTCTGGCTGCTGGTGGGTGGGCTGTCCACCTTGCGCATGGTAAGTGGTCCACCCCCACTGAGGGCTCTTGGATGGTCCTGCCCTGGTTTGGGAGTACCTACCCTATCCCTCACGTTAAAACCAGGCCCTCTGAACCATATTCCTATGACCCCAGGTGGCAGTGTTGGTGTCACGGACCGTGGGCCCCACCCAGCGGCTGCTCCTGTGTGGCACACTAGCTGCCCTGCACATGCTCTTCCTGCTCTATCTGCATTTTGCCTACCACAAGGTGGTAGAGGGTAAGTGGCAGGAGGCCCTGCACGGGGAGAGTAGTGAGCGAGCGGTGGGGCAAAACAGCGGCTGCTCAGAGAGCCCGCCTGGTGGGGTGGCCAGCCAGCTCACCCACTTTCCATCCTCCTTTCAGGGATCCTGGACACACTGGAGGGCCCCAACATCCCACCCATGCAGAGAGTCCCCAGGGATGTCCCAGCCGTGCCCCCAGCTGCCAGGCTGCGGGCCACTCTGCTCAACGCCACAGCCAAGGCTGTCTCAGTGGCCTTGCAGTCACATTGACCCCGCCTGAGACCCTTGGCCAGCTCTGTCCCCCTGCTGCAGAGTGGAGGATTAAAGGACAGTACTGATGACGTGTCTTATTGATGTGGTCTGTTGTGCCACTGAGCTGTAGCCACTTAAGAACCTTCTTGACACCACCAGCGCCTTCCAAGGGCACAGGGCCAGAAACTCCTGGCCAAGACTGTAAGACTGCAGCCAGTGCAGAAAGTGGGTCAGCTCCTCAGAGACCCCTCACCTCCTCCCCCTTCCTCCCTCTTTCTCCCCCTCCCCCCTTGTCTTGCTAAATATAGACTTGGTAATTAAAATATTGATTGAAGTCTGGAACTGAAGCTCCTGTTCCAGTGGCTCTCCTTGTCACCCTACTTCCTAGATACATTCCTGTCAGCAGCCGTAGTGTCACATGTTCTTTCCTTCTGTTACGCCCCCACCCCAGCAAAATGAAGGTAGGACAGACAGACTCCATAGAGCACCAGGAGAGATGGCTTACAGAACTGCCCCTGAGGGCAAGGGGCATCAGACCCAGGGAGCCACGGGCAGGCCTCAAGCACAAGAGCCATCAGCCTGAGGGAAGAGTGCAGTAAGCTTGGACATACTTCGAAGTCTGTAGAGCAGTAACAATTGGACGCGAACTTCCAGACTAAACTCCAGGTTATCACTAGGACCTTGTGCACCTGGGCTGTTGTGAAGCTCACACCAGAAGCCAAATTTGCCTTTGTCTTTGTTTTACTGTGCCCAACACCCTCAGGAGTGCTCTCCTTCCTTTTTTTTTCTTTCTCTTTTTTTTTTTTTGCCAGTCCTGGAGCTTGAATTCAGAGCCTAGGCACTGTCCCTGAGCTTCATTTGCTCAAGGCTAGTGCTCTATCACTTGAGCCACAGCGCCTCTTTTGGCTTTTTCTATTTATGTGGTGCTGAAGAATCGAACCCAGGGCTTCATGCGTGCTAGGCAAGCATTCTACCACTAAGCCACATTCCCAGCCCTCTTTCCTCTTTAAGAATGCTATTAGGTTGGGTACTGGTGGTTCAAGCCTATAATCCTAGGTACTCAGGAGCCTGAGATCTGAGGATTGTGGTTCAAAGCCAGCCCAGAGGGAAGTCTGTGAGACTCATCTCCAATAAACCACTAGAAAACCAGAAGTGGTGCTGTGGCTCAAGTGATAGAGTTCACCTTGAGCTGAAGAGCTCAGGGATAGTGCTCAGGACGAGTTCAAGCCCCATGACAGACCTCCCCCCCCCCAAAAAAAAGGTGCTGTTAGGGCTGGGAATGTGGCTTAGTGGTAGAGTGCTTGCCTACCATGCAGGAAGCCAAGGGTTGGATTCCTTGGTACTACATAAACAAAAAGCCAGAAGCGGTGCTGCGGCTCCAGTTGATAGAATGCTAGCCTTGAGCACAGAGAGGCTTGGGGACAGAGCCTAGGCTCTGCGTTCAAGCCTTAGAACTGGCACACACACACACAAAAAAGTTTGTTTGGCATTACCCTATAAAGTGTGGGTCAACAGCATCTAACGAGTAAGGGATCCCTCTTTTGCCCTGTATCACATCGTTGAACTTTTTTTTTTTTGCTATACTAGAGCCTGGGGTCTTGAGATGGCCAGGCAAGCACTTTGCCACTTAAGCCACACCACACCTGCAACACTGTTTGCTTTTCAGTTTCATTTAAGTAGGATGTCACTTAGGTATGCCCCTCCACTGCCCCAGCTAAAGAAGGCCTGGCTTTTTGCCGTGGCTGGTCTACAGATGTGCCTCCTGCGGCGGGTCTTGAATGGGTGATGTGCCTCGGCCTCCTGAGCAGTGAGATGACAGACACGAACCCTGCCAGGCTTCCGGAGACAAAATTCTAACCACTGTGCAGTGTAGCACAGGCCGCTCGGGGTCCCCGATTCTAGAACCCCTTCTGACAGCTGACGGCGAGGCAGGCGCAGCGAGGGGCGGGCGCCCGGACCCGGCGTGCGCCCGCGGTGCCACCTAGACTAGGGTCGGATATTGGGGGCCGCGGGCCCGGCCCGCAACGCCTGCAGCCCCCGGTGGGTGTTGCCACCTTGGCGGGGAAGCCCTCGCGGAAGGAATCCCCACGCACGCCGCGAGCGCGTCACGGGCCTCGGGGGCGGGGCGGGGCGAAGCGTGGACTCCAGGGCCAAGGGATCGAGGGTCCACACCCCCTTCGGGACGGGGAGCCACGGGAGAAGGGGCGGGCCCGCCCCTGCGTGCCCCCCGAAGCCAGCC